CTGAACAGTGATAGAACTGCAGTCCACAAGCACAGGTAGATTGTTCAAAGCAATGAAAAGAGTACCGCTCAAGTGCCCCCTAAAACTGTGCGTTGGTTCAGCATGTGAATAGGCATTAGTAAACTTCAACAAAATGGTGGCCGTCTGTACACAGACACTGACTCCTTGTTGCATAAATATGAATGAAATGAGTAAAAGATGGCTTCAGCTCCTGTTCTCAACCTGTAGAGAACTACTCAGGTGTGTTTTGCCCTTTTTGGGGCTTAATCGTAAAAGCAAAACACATCTGATGAGTTCTCTACAGGAGGAGAACAGGAGCTGATGCCATATTTTACTCATTCACATTTATGCAACAGAGAGTCAGTGTCTGTGTGCTGATGGCCACCATTTTGTTGATAGGCAGACTATTGTTGAACCTGTAGGCCAGGATAGCCACATTGGGGGGTGACAGAATAAAGCAGATAGGAGGTAGAGTTCTGTATCCCCCTTGAAACCACCAAATGAACCCACATGTCTGGGATACAAAAGAGAGGCAAACTGTAACAGATACCCCCCCACTCTTAGGAGTGAGGGTACCTCCTTCACAGGGAACAGGGCTTTGGGGAAAACTTGTAGGGCTTTGTGAGGCAAATATTATGGCAAACAAAGGGCTGAACTTGGGTTTGCAGTTGAAAGGGGGTTTTTGAATCTTCTGCTGTGGAAGTAGAACCTTCTCTCTTGTGACATCTTGATTTAATTCGCCAAGTGCCTCACCAAAAAGACATCCTCCTTCAAAGGGAATACATGTGAGGTGTCTTTTACAGGCAGCTTCAGTTGTCCAGGCTTTGAGCCTGAAGATTCTGTACATGCAAATTGAGATTACAACCATTTTGGAAATTAGTTTCATTACTGCTTATAGGTCATCCACACAAAAGAGAAAAGAAACTGCTGTAATTTCTCACTTTAGGCATGGTAATGGAATACAGTATCATATGGGTTGTTCATTGCCCATCAAGTGTGACGAGAGCCTTTAAGAGCATTTCAAACTTCCTTTTTGCAGAATCTTTGAATAAAGGCACATCTTCAATTAGTACAGTGCCATGTTTAAGACTGAGACAGCAGGATCAGCTACTGGAACAGACCACTTATTTGTGAACTTTTTTTTCACTGAATAAAGTTCAGCAATGATTTTCAGAGGAGTGAAAATATTTTCAGGATTAACCCAATTGTCACAGATTGCCCATTCTATTTGTTCATGATCGGGTAATGTCTTTTTAGGTTTTGAAGGTCTCTTTGTACCTACAGTTGCAAGAAAAAGTATGTGAACCCCTTGGGATTACGTGGAGTTTTGCATGAATTTGGCATAAAATGTGCTCTGAACGTCATCTAAGTCACAACAATAGAAGAACACAGTCTGCTGAACATAATACTACACAAACATTAGATGTTGCCATGGTTTAATAACATGTAAACATTTACAGTGCAGGGAGGAAAAAAGTATGTGAACCTTTGGACTTAATAACTGGTTGACCCTCCTTTGGCAGCAATAACCTCAACCAAACGTTTCCTGTAGTTACAGATCAGACCTGCACAACGATCTGGAGTCATTTTGGACCACTCCTCTTCACAAAAACTGTTTCAGTGTAGCAATATTCTTGGGATGTCTGGTGTGAATCGCTCTCTTAAGGTCATGCCACACAATTTCAATCGGGTTGAGGTCAGGACTCTGACTGGGCCACTCCAGAAGGCGTATTCTGTGCTGTTGCAGCCATTGTTTTGTTGAATGACTTGTATGCTTTGGGTCATTGTCCTGTTGCATCACCCATCCTCTGCAGAGCTTCAGTTGGCGGACAGATGGTCGTACGTTTTCCTGCAAAATGTCTTGATAAACTCAGGAATTCGTTTTCCCATCAATGACAACAATCCGTCCAGGCCCTGAGGCAACAAAGCAGCCCCAAACCATGATGCTCCCTCCGCCATGTTTCACAGTGGGGATGAGGTTTTGATGTTGGTGTGCTGGGCCTTTTTTTCTCCACACATAGTGTTGTGTGTTCTTCCCAAACAACTCAATCTTGGTTTCATCTGACCACAGTATATTCTGCCAGTAGTGCTGTGGAACATCCAGGTGCTCTTTTGCAAACTTCAAACGTGCTGCAATCTTCTTTTTGGACAGCAATGGCTTCCTCCGTGGTGTCCTCCCATGTACTCCATTCTTGTTTAATGGTTTCCTTATTGTAGATGTGTCAACACAAATGTTAGCATGTGCCAGAGATTTCTGTAGGTCTTTAGCTGACACTCTGGGATTCTTCTTTACCTCATGCAGCATTCTGCGCTGTGCTCTTGCAGTCATTTTACAGGACGACCACACCTAGGGAGAGTAGCAACAGTGCTAAACTTTCTCCATTTTAGACAGTCTGTCTTACCGTGGACACATGAACATCAAGGCTCAAGGAGATACTTTTGTAACCCTTTCCAGCTTCATGCAAGTCAACAATTCTTGATCGCAGGTCTTCTGAGAGCTCTTTTCAGCGAGGCATGGTTCACATCAGACAGTGCTTCTTGAAACCAGTAAACCCAAAACAGGTGTGTGTTTTTTAAGGGCAGGACAGCTGTCAGCAACACATCCAATATCATCCCACTGATTGGAGTCAAGGTTGGCTCACTCCTGGCTCCAATTAGCTCTGGGAGAAGTCATTAAGCTAGGGCCTCACATACTTTTTCCTCCCTGCACTGTGAATGTTTACATGTTATGTGCAATTAAACCATGGCAACATCTAATGTTTGTGTAGTATTATGTTCAGCAGACTGTGTTCTTCTATTGTTGTGACTTAGATGACGTTCAGAGCACATTTTATGCTCAATTCATACAAAACTCCACGTAATCCTAAGGGGTTCACATACTTTTTCTTGCAACTGTATAAGGGCATCATGAGATGGAGGAGAAACATATGAGACAAAGTTGAGGTTTTTGCAAACAGCAGAAGTGAGAAAATTCACATTAGCAAGTATATTGCATTAAGCTGCAATTTCAAGGTGTATAGGAGTTGAGGGTGAGAAATCTTCTGCAGCCTCCTCTAACATTGCCTCTGGGTCCTCATTTCCTACTGTATCTCTTCTAGGCTGGGCATATCGGGATATGACTCAGATAGATAAGGTGTATAGGAGTTGAGGGTGAGAAATCTTCTGCAGCCTCCTCAAACATTGCCTCTGGGTCCTCATTTCCTACTGTACCTCTTCTAGGCTGTGCATATTGGGATATGACTCAGATCGATACGGAGTATCTCGTAAAAGGGATCATGGCATTCTGATGCCCTGGAAAGCCTTTAGTTGTCTGACAAATTGTGACATGGTTGCAGAAAAATCTGCCTTTATCAGGTAGGCGTACTCGGATACAGAGACCAATGTTAAAATCGAGGGCCTGATCTGGTGCAAGGGAAGCATTGTCAGTCTGATGTTGTGTGGGCCTTTGCCTGAGCTTTTGACCTGTCTCCCTTCTGCCATCGCTACAGATGAATGTAATTCCCTGAGAGGTACTCATGGCATAGGGGAAAGCAAGTCCAAAATGAGTACACAGTAAGCCCAGGTGTAGAGTGTCGTGTAGCAAAGTCCTTATGGTAAAAGAGTGGGAGGAATCGCCTGAGTACCTTAAAAAGGCTCTTGGAGGAAGTGGCAGTAGAGTGTGCAAACTGTGGGGTAATGAAACACCTGGCAAACCACTTGAGACTAGAATGGCTGAGTTATAGCACCAAGTTTGAAAAGTTTAGACTGTAAAGTAAATAAATTCAAAATATAACCTGGCTTTTTTAAAGTAACGTGACCCTGTCTTACCTGTCCACTATGTTGGACCCTAGAAAGAAAGAGTCCAGGCTTCGCCTGTCATGGTGGGTATACCCCAGTAAGGGTCTTCAGGGTCTTGGCACCATAGAAGGGGCCAAGGCCCTGGACCAGTATAGCATCCAGTGGATAACTGCACTTGGTACACCCAGTGCCATGGTGAGAGCTCGTGCGAGATCCAGTGCCCGAAGCAACTCTACAGGCCATTCCCATTGTGGGGTCTGGACACGGCTCCCACGGTTTTACTGAGGTTGCACGGATTCTGATGCAGTGAACAAATTGTAGAATATGAAGATAAAAACAAACAAGTTAGGCCCAGAGTGAGTTCTCTATAAGAAAGAAAAGTTCCACTACCTTAGTAAACTAGCTAAAAACTAAGGATTTAAAGAGTGGGTTAGGGTTATAAGGGAGGTGTCCAGGTGGTGTGTCCTCAAAAGTTTTGCTAGTGTCCAATCATGAGCCTTTAAACCCAGGATCTATGAATACTGTCTCCTATACTGTACAATTAAGACAGCATATTTTAGAAACTTCTCAAGAGAAGAAGGACAATAGCAAAAATGTTCAACAGAGTGGGTGGGGTTACATGAGGGTACACCGGAGGCATTCCCCACAAAGCTTTGCCAGTGTCCAATCACCTGAAGGTAGTGGCGTATAACCCAAGGTCCATGAGTACAATTTCTGTACTGTACAATTAATATCTCTTCATGAGCATGTCTAGATCCTTCTATAGAGAATCAAGGACAATCAATGTGCCACATGAAAACAGTCACCAGTGTTTAGAACTGCAGCAGTTTCCAACAATCCATTCCATCTTTTGATTAAGGGCAGATATCTCCTCACCAGTTGTTTTCTGGGACTATCTTTGGGCAGCCTTTGACATTACTCCTGAATATAATTATCTGTGCAGCCCTCGGCAGTCTGTAGTGGGACATTGATTAGGGTAATACCATTGATCTCTACTAGCCTCGTCCAATATGTTCCCAGTTTTATATTGTCTTTTTCAGCATATTCCCAGCCAAAAAATGCAGAATGTCTGCACTCACCGACCCTCATTTCCTCGATTAGGTCTGCAATTGCTGACAGTCTTCTCAAGCATTACATATACTAAACTTTATGTGTGAGACCCATTTGAAGCCTCCTTTAGCTCATAAATTGACAACCACTGGTTTATAGTATCTTGGACTCACCTTACACTGCACAATTAGCTTCGGCTGACATGTTATATTTCCTTCCTCATCTAACACTTTAACCTGAAAAGTAACTGCTGATCCATTGTCAATAATAAGAATATCAGTACTCGGAATAACATTCAGGAGCTTGGGTGGACCTAAAAAAAAAAAAAATGAAGAAAAAAAAAAGTTTACATTTTTAATATACACAAACATTTGGGGGAAGGCATCCATAAAGCACAAAATAGAACAGCTATCCAAGCCAATTTCATTACCCATTCATAGAAAAAAAGCCTCTCAAAATATACATAATTAGAAAAACAAGCCCTTACTTGGACATATCTAAGAACACGATTTCCCCATTAACGTCAGGATAACAAAAGTGTAATCATATAAATATTTTACTTATCCAAAATAATAACACATCAACATAATGAGACACAAACTATTAATAGAATTTTCCCTGCAGAGTATATATGTATGGCTCCTAGATTTTGTTAATCAGCATTAATATACAGTACATAAACAATCTTCACAAATACAGTATATTCCTTTGCATAAAGTTTAATCCGATTCATACATTTGCCAGTTAAATGTACTGTTGCATCTGCCCTACCAACCAACCGTGCTAACAACCAGGTGCACTTAAGTGAGCTAATATAGTCCACAATGATTAAACGGTATACCCATGGGTGATTTCTTATATTGTAAGTCCAAAAAACTAAATACTCTCTTTATACACTCACAACTTTCTGTATGCAGATTCTAACAGCAATGGCAAGGTTAACCCAAATATGTATGATAATGGATGTATAGGTACTTGTTTATATCACATCTCTTGTAGATTGACAAGCATTCTCACACCTGGGCTTAAATCCCGTTGGAGATACCTCACCCTTAAATTTAAATGGAACTGGGGCAATAGAATGGTGAGAAAGCATGTTTATGTGGTCTCAGTGGTAAATGCAATTTTTTGTGAGTCCATGCCAGTCCAAACTTTTATTGAACAAAACAAAAGTAAAACTCTTTAAAGCAAAAAAATAAAAACCTTACCCATGCAGGAGATTTAAAGCAGAACTCTTGGGAAAAATATCTTTATATGTCCTTTTTGCCAATGTCCTACCTTCATTGAATATGTCATCCATCTGCTGGTTCATTAAATAGTTGCGCTGAAATAGCCTATTCATTTTCAAATCAAATTGTTAATTCTCTTTGGTTTCCTGTTTATAAGACCAGTGGCTGCAATAGCCTCCTATCCCTGCAGCCACTGGTCTTGGCACATCACTTATGTAGGAAGCAGTGATGTAGTTCAGCCCCAATTGCAGTGGTGAGCGGACCGAGGCTTTCAGACACATTGAACATGTACAGGCCTAGTGTACCCACCCACATTCACTACAATTCCCCTTTGGTTGATGGGAACAGTAGTTTCCGTTTACTGCAGAGAGAAAGGAGAGGATATGATGTAATCTCTGCTGTTACACATCCTACTGGGCAGAACAAATGCGGTTATCTTTTGAATTACAGAGATAAGGTCATGAACATTCAATTAGACTTTTCTCCTAACTGGTAAGGGTTTTTTAAAGTTTTAACTGTTTAATGTTTTGTGTAGGGGTTGTACTAAAAGGTGATTTGTTTGCCTATCCCGGAGTTCTTCTTAACCACTTGCCTATCGGGCACTTTTACCCCATTCCTGCCCAGGCCAATTTATCAGCTTTCAGTGCTGTTGCACTTTGAATGACAATTGTGCGGTCATGCAACACTGTACCCATGTGAATTTTTTAATATTTTTTTCCCCACAAACAGAGCTTTCTTTTGGTTGTATTTAATCTCCACTGGGGTTTTTATTTTTTGCACTATAAACAAAAAAAAATTGCTAAATATTTGGAAAAAAAAAGTTTTCTTTCTATTATAAACGGATGAGGTGGAAAAGATAGGCAGCACTGAGAAGGTGGCACTGATGGTGCTGCACTGAAATGCAGAATTGAGGGGCACTGATAGGCAGCACTGAGGGGCACTGACTGACAGCACTGCTGGGCACTGATAATCATCAGGCATAATCAGTGCCCTAATCATCAGTGCAGATTTGCTTTGTGACATTTGCGGGTTATCGGCAGTACTTTCCTCACGCTGTGACAGCATGAGGAAAGTGTTGCTGATAACCAGCAACTGTATTTACTTTGTGATCTGCTGTGTCATTGGACAAAGCTAAACATATGGTAAAAAACCACTGTGATTGCCCTTTTACCTAGTCATGTGATCAGCTGTGTCCGTGCGACACAGTTATCACTGACAGAGCCGGGTGCGTGCCGCTGGGGGAGCATTCTGGGAAGACTTCATATGACGCCCTCCCAGAACTGGACAACCGCGCAGTAGCCATCATTCGGCTATAGCGCGGTTGTAGATTGGTTAAATCACTTCAATACTGGACACTTTCACCCCCTTCCTGCCCAGGTCAATTTTCAGCTTTCAGTGCACTTTAAATGACAATTGCGTGCTCATGAAACACTGTACCTGAAAGGGTTATTAGTTAATTAACCTTTGCTTTATGCTTACTACTCAACTTTTATTCCCATAACAGAATGTTCTCTGGGGACTGGAATGTTATCTGAAAGTGTGTCCGGTCTTGAAGGCTGCAAAACGTATTATTTTGTTTGCTATATTTCTATTGCACACCGTATGGTGAGTTACTATAACATCTATAATGTACTTTGATTGGTGCTAGGGACACCGCCTGAAATATTCAATGTTATCGCTATATATTTAAACTCAGATCAATAATAAAGACTTTGAATTCTGTGCTTGACACCTCAGTTTCTGAATTGCATTATTCCCAAAATACTTTGTACCTTTCATGATTGGACACAGGGTGCTGGTACGAAACTGAGTTGTCCTAACAGAACTGGTGTCAGAAGTGGGATAGGTTCGGCCATCGGAGATAAGGGAGCAATTTTTGTCTTACTTTGCCCCGGTTGCCTCCCATCTTGAACAAGCCTCTGTGCTGTGGTAGTACGAGCAGTTGTCCGCTGGAGCTTTGGGAGTTCGTGGGATTGAAAACCTAGGCTGATTTATAAAAGATTTGTATATGTGCCTTCCCCCAAGCACACAGAATAGGGTGTGAAGTTATTTCTGTATGTGTGCAACTAGAAAAACTGTTAAGTATATGTATTATAAGTCTCTGGATGATTGTGATGTGCACCACCTGCTCAGTGAGGGGGTTTCATGTGAAAGCATGGTGGCAGTCTGAAAGAATCAGAATAGGGGTGTATTTGTCCAAGTGATTTTAAGCCTTGAAGCTCTTGTGCAGTTGGGAAAATTTTGTCAGAGCTCTACATGAATTCAGTACAGCTTCACCATGCACAAAGAGTAATCACCAGGACAGAAACATATAGGCCCACTCGCATAACCTTGCTTCTTCGCTTTAAGTGACAATGGGAAACTCCCAAGGTAAGGGGAAGTAGCGAGATCCTCCTAAGTCAGCGCGTAAAGTATTAAGAGAAAGCAAATTCTAAAAAAAAAAATAACTAAAGAAAAGGGATCAGCTCTAGAAAAACCCCAGCCACCAGTTAATAAGACATGTAAAGAGTATGTTGCCAGAGTGTCACCTTGGGATTATTATGTTAACCCATGGGTGGACAACTTGGCGGTATGGACTGAAACTATGGGTAATGCCAGTCCTTTGGGATGGAGACCATGATGATTTTCATGTGGACATGATAAAGGGTCTATGTTTGGGGGACAGAACTGCCTTTCCATATTTTGATTCAGATCCTGAGTGGGATATGACTTATATGAAAAGGGGAGCATTAAACTGGTTGAAATATGCTCCAGGATACAAGCGCCCAATACAAACCCTTTCTGCCTCAATAGCCAAGCAGAATAATCATCCTTTTTTTGACACCACCTTGACAAAAGGGCACTAATCTTCCCGATTATACTCAATTGTATCCTCAACTCCCTAAGGAAGAGGATGAGGATTATATGTTGTCACACAATTGGAGGAGACATTTATTACATTCTGCTCCAGCCCACAGGGCCCTGCCTACCACTCCACTGGTTTCACCTCTGCAGTCGCCAGATGTTCCCTTCCCTGATTTTACCAAGCTGTCCCCAGTCGATCAAGAAAGCCATTTGGCATTGATGGATGGCGGTAGTGAGGGTTCTTCAGGGGAAGAATCAGTTAAAGGTTTGTCAATGCGTGAAATAAGTAGAGAGTAGAAAGAAGCTAAAGTTATATTGGGAAAGGCGATGGAGCAGATGCAGGAAACTGTGGCTGCTTTGACGCCTAAGACCAAGGGAAAGGGTAAAAAGGGCAAGGTAGCAAAACTAAGTAAATAGCAATTGGTTGTAAAGGAGCAGACAGCACAGGAGAGGGATGCAGCAAGTGAGGAGTCAGAAGATTCAGCAGGGGATGAAGAGGTGAGTCAGACTGAGCAGGATGAATCAGAAGAATCTAGTAGGTATCATCTGAGAGCCAGAAAAGGCACTAGAGATGACGAGGGATCCATCCAAGCTTACCATTACATCATTGTGGGTAATGATGGGGTGGTAAAGCCGGTGGAAATTACTGAAGTTAATGGCATCATAAAGGGTTCTCCTGATCCTCGGAGGAACTCCACTGCTGCCATCAGCTGCCTGAGAAGAGCAACCTGAGAAAGGACGACAATGTTCACAACAGGATATGAAGATAATCATTGATGGGATTTTGGGATATGATATGGAATCATCAAGTTGGGAATGGGCTAAGTTGTCTTCCATTACTGAGCTTCATGAACCATCTAAGCCGGCTACAGACTACAAGTAGAGAACTTCCACGGGAAGGAACAGATGTGGAAGGCGTTCACTGCAGAAATGCAGTGGTTATGGAAAGAAAAGCAGTCACTAGCTACAGCAGTTGTTTGTAAGCATGGCAGTAAGGAATCAAATTCCTTAAGAGATTTAAGAAGGTCTGGAAAGAAGAAGCAAGATTAAATGTGACAATGCGGGAGTTAGGAATTATATACATACAGCCAGTTATGCAAGGACATAGACCAGAGGTTTTATTATTAATCAAACAGTTAGTGTCGGAGTGGACAGACAAGGATGCTAAAACATTTGAAGCCAGAGTAATGGAGGATTCAGCAGGGTGTTGTGACCTTCCTAAAAAAAAAACAAAAAAAAG